ATATTGTGAAATATTTTTACAATTTAAAATAACTGTTTTCTATTTTAATATATTTAAAAAATGCAATTTATTGCTGTGATGCCAAAGCTGAATTTTCAGCATCATTACTCCAGGCTTCAGTGTCACACAAGCCTTTAAAAATTGTTCTAATATGCTGATTTGGTGCTCATGTAACATTTCTTGTTATTATCAATGTTGAAACATTTGTACTGCTTAATATTTTTGTGGAAACTGACATTGATTGATTGATTGATTGATTGATATGAATAAAAAGAGGAATAAACAGAAATTAAATAGATTAAAATAGAAATTGTTTGTAGCATTGTAAATTGGATTCATTTAATAAATCTTTGATGAATATAACTATTAATTTCTTTCAAAAATAAAATCTTACTTACCCCAAACATTTGAATAGTAGTGTACAAAGGTGAAGTATTCTCCTTGTTTACATGCAAAATTCTGATAAATATTCTGATATTAAATTTAAATTACAATTGAATTATGTATGTCATGTAAATTCAGCAAAGTGATTGTCATATTCCAATGAATTCAAAATTCTTGTTTCTAGAAATCCGAATAAGACAACTGGCATATGCCTGTATTAATCCACTTGAATATAGACTGTTAATTTATATCTATGCCCCTATGGAAATATTAGGAACGCCCTCTCTTGCCACTGATTAAGCATATTTTTGCAGGTGTTTGGAACCTGGAGGGATCAAAGCTCCATATGAATATATATTATTAGGATATTGCTATGATGTAAATCTGACCTGTGTTTTGGGTTGGAGATGATCTTGTGAGTGATGCCATCTGAACTTCTGTCCTGGAAGGTGCGCAGAAAGTTCAAGTACTGTACACAGCCCTTTTTTAGCTTCAGACCACACCGAGACAAAAACAGACCCAGGTGCTCTCTCTTCAGATGCAGGTCAAACTTCTTCAACACCTGCAGAAAGTCTGCACCCCTCACCTACAAACAGAATGCAGGATATTTACATGAATCAATATGACTAACATTTTTGTACCAGTTTGTTTGTGAAGTCTGAGGCCATTTGCTACCTTTCCACTGTTCTCAGGATCCAGTTTATCAAACTCAGTTTTCATTCTCTGAGCTCCTTCCCTGAATCTGTCCTTCAACCATGCCTCTATGGCGATAGATGTGTGACGTTCCTCTTCCGCCTTAGAGAGTGTCCTACCAGGAGCTGAGGGAAAGAGGAAGGTATGACAGGAAATTGTGTATTACATTACTATTTAAACTTTCTAATAACAGGTCTCTGATTAATTTCATCATCTGATGAGCTCATATTAAACCAGGCAAAGGCTAAATCCCTGAAGAAGATCCCTGCCGAAACATAGGTGGTCTATAGGTGGACTGTTGCTCAACTACACATCAGAATAAAGCAAACTAAAGCTGCTAGTTTCTCCAAAACCAGTGCAAAACTTGTCCCTCTATTTCTGAGATGATCAATACTATTTATCTATACTTACTTCAATTAATAATTTTAGTACAATAATAATTTAACTTCTGTTTTCTTTTAATTATAAAAGTGATTGGACACAAACAGTTCTAGTGCAGAGTTTGTTTTGTTAACTGACTACTGTTGATAAATTTGATTATTGATTATTTTGTAAACTGACATCAAAGGATACTTTATAATAAAAAATAATAATGATTCAGCTCATGAAACAGTACTAGGTAGTCTACAAATTCTATTATCATCAGCTTTACCTTTGGTGTCTTCGGCTTTAACAGTAATAGAAGTGTTTCTCTCATTGTTTGGTTCAGTCCTTCTGCTCAATCCCAATTTATTTAGAAAAATCGTCTGCTTAACTGCACCAAGTCCATCCACATCTAACCTGTTTAAAAGAGATGGAGAATTTTTTATTACAGTTTTTTTTTTTTTTATTACAATTTTATTCTAAAATCTATAAAGCAATTTGATGGCAGAACTAATCAAATGAATAATAAATAAATACACAAATAAATCAATTCAAACCTTTTCCATAATTTTTCAAAATCAGGATCTTTCAGGTGAAGCTTGAGTTTGTTGAGAATATTTCTGAACTCTGGGGCAGAAATCCAGCTTTCAGTAAGATTGTCTGACTTGCACAAAACCTCTACACTCTCCAGAAACCTACAGTAGGAGAAATGGTTTCACAATCATCGCAAACAGCTACTCGGGAGCTAATTTTTCATGTTTAAAAAATACATTCTTGATGAATTGAAAATTCATCAGCATTTATTTGAAATAGAAATCGTTTGTAAGATTACAAATGTCTTTACTGTCACTTTTCATCAATTTCATGCGTCCTTGCTGAATACTTTTTTTTTTTCAAAAAATAAAAATAAATTAATTAATAAATAATAATAATCTTTATCATCATCATCATCATCATCATCTTACTGAGCCCAAATTTTAGAATTGTAGTGTATGCTGTGACAGTGTGACATATTTTAAACATTCAAAATACTGACATACTGAAAATCTATTTAATTTATTTAATATGGCTTACTTGAAGATATTAAACATTTAAAATTGTTATAGTAGAACACAGTTTATTATACTTTTCTTATTTGGTTTGTTTTTCTACGCTTTTGTTACCAAAAAAATAAATTATATATATATATATTTTATTTTTTATTTTATTTTATTTTTTTCTGTGTGTGTGGGGGTGTGAGACTAGGAGCAAGAAATTGTTTAAAAGTCCTGTTTTTGTTTCTCCTCTCTGTCTCTCTCTCACACATACACATGCTGTCAATCATACATATGATTGTCCTTATTATGTCCCTTTGTGTCTTTCACTTATCCTTTCTTTCTATTTTCAACCCTTTTGGACCCATAAATCTGCCTTTTGCACATTTTTATGTGTGCCACATTTCTCTTCTTTCCTGTTGCTCTTTCATCTTTATCCCTCTCTTGCTGTCTTTTTATTCAGTCTTTTTTTTCTTTCCCTCATCCTATCTTTCCCATCTCTCACTTGGACACTCATAGTCAATGTGTCTGTAAGAAAGAGAGGGAAAATGTGTGAGATTAGTCACAGAGATTTCTTTTTTCTTTTTTTTTTTGCTCATGGCTGGAGTGTGTCTTGGTCTGACCAGGTCTAACGCAATCAGTATGACACACACACACCAACCAAACTTTCACACTCTCGCACACTCCCTCTACAACCTCATTGTATTACACTGATGCTTTAAACAGTTAAGTACAATAGTTGCAGTAGTACAGAGAGGGAGAAATGGAGGGGGCGCCAGAACAGTAAGCTGCTTTGCTGATCATCCTTTAGCTTTCTGTCCACCCTGGGCACAAGACGCACTCTGAGCTCCCTGCTGGTGAACTTTTGAGTGTGAGCAGTTCACAATCTCTGTTTCTGAACTGTTATCTCTTTCTAGAGCACTGTTTGTGTGATAACCTCTTTTTTTTTTAATAATCATCAAGTGTACATTAAGTCTACAAACACACTTAAATACCCGAATGTTGCATTAGATACAAAATATCAAACAAAGTGGAATCTATAAATGATGCTAAATCAGTGGTTCTCAATGAGAGGGCCGGAACCTCTGCAAACATCATGTGGGCCCCCAATAAGTCTTAAAATGATTTAAATTTGGTCATAGTAACATAACCTTTATTAGAATTCTAAAAACGGAAGTAAAAACACTGATCCAGATCTTGTCTAAGAATACTTCACTATACAGAATATATGTCGCAATCCTTCTTTTGTTCTGAATATTGGTGGCCTTGTGCAAAAGTAAACACAACAGTACAAAAGAGAAATCTTGTGAAACTTGAACTGCTAAATAAATAAGATAACTTACACTAAACACAGAGTATTTTAGACCTGTTCTTGGCTATTTTTGTTCCGCTAACAAAAATAGTCCCAATCAAAGCGAAAGCCGAATTGCACTCGAGTCAATGATTCAAAGAGTCACTGAAATACTGCCACCTGCTGGCATGACGATGTAATTTGCCGAAAGAGCTATTAAAGGGGTCATGACATGAGAAATAAAATTTGCCTTGATCTTTTGGCATATATGAGGTCTTTGTACCAATCTTTAGATATCAGAAGGTTCCCAGCGTTAGGAACAAGTGGATAGTTTATTTTTAATTTTTCAATTTCAGAGGATTGTTTGGAGTATTTTGTTTTGTAAACGAGGCACAGTGTCATAGAGAGTTCACAAAGAAACATTTGTTGAAAGATGAAGCTGTCTCAGATCTGACTGAAGCTGCATCACAAACTGTAAGTAATTGATTTCATAATGCTTTGTCTGGAAATGATCATGTTGTCAAAACACTCAAAACAACATGCAAAAGCAAGGGGGTGTTGATACTCTTACAATGACATTAGCCAATCATAACAGTGGTCGATTCCTGACAAGTCTTAATGGACCCGCCCCTTAAAACAGGTCATTTAAGACTGAGTGCCAGAACGAGGGTTGAAAATAACCTTTTTTTCCCCACATATTTATTTGGGGTTTTTTGTGCAAAAAAACTTTATTAACATTATAAGTTAACCTCAGGGAACATATTAAAATAATAATAAAAAAAAAAATCCATGTCATGTCCCCTTTAAAAGCACTCTCAATTTCAGAATGACAGCCTTGACAAGAGGAGTGATACCAGCGATGAAAGGAAGGGACTGTCAAATTTGAGGACGGGAACTTTTGTATAAAAAGAAACATCTTTTTGTGAAATGATTTTCTTGAAAAGTGTGTTTATACTATGTTATTTATTTATTTTTGTTAATTAGGTTATTTGAAATAATTGTTTATGAAGTAGCTTTTGATATTTTGATAAAACATTTTGATATTTTATTCTCCACTTTCCCTCATGACAACAAAGAATATCATATTCAATATGACATTCCTCTCAAGTTAACTGGACCATTCATTTGACCAAAACTATAGTAGTGTGTAAGGACTGCAGAGATCTCACCTGCTGCGTGCAGGTCCTCTCAGCAGGGCCATTGTCTGAGGAATTGTAAGAAGACCTGCGGGGTTACTTTTATTGGAGTCTGGGTCTTTCAGGGCACCATAAAACTCCTCAAAACTGATAAGCACTCGGTCAGAGAGGTGCAGACTGCACAGAAGGAGCAAGACATTATATCTTTTAATCATATGGATCTTGAAACAATAATAATTAGACAGACCTTTAAAGTACAACAACATAATTTTTATTTTAAGAATTGTTAGATCATTGTCATTACTTACCGAAATAGAAGGTTTTTCAGCTGTTTAGCTGTGACAGGCCTCCTTAGGAAATTTGTAAGGATCTCAAGTAAAGAAGATCTAGGAAAACAACAAACTATAAGACAATGGGGAAAAAATCTGATATTTACATCTGTGTGTGTCTGTTTTCACCTGTTGACCAGAGGTTTGCCATCAGGGTGATTATTCTTGAACAGGATTTTGAGCAACAGAGCTCCTGTATTTTGAATGCGCTGTTTTAGCTCAACTTCCAGCTTTAAAAGAAAGAGTGAAATTGGTATATTGGTTTCTGTATTTTTTTTCTTTCTTTTTTTATAATGCATTATACAAAAATGATGAGGTCAAAACTCAATATTCTCAACATTATTGTTCTTTCCAGAAACACACACTTTCACTTGCAATCCTAACACACTGAAATGAGTTTGTTTTTTATTTACTTTTCTGGAAATTATATATATTACAGCAAATCAACTGCCGTGAATGAAAGAACTGAGTTTGAATGAATGTGTTATTTTTTTTAGTGAATCAAAAACAGCATGACCAGGATTGAAAGATTCTTCAATGAAAGAATATTATGAACCAGATCAACTCCTGAATGAACTCCTAATTGGACAGTTCTTTTAAGAATTTAGCAAGGCCATTGTTTTCATTGTATGCTCGAATGACTTTAAAGAGCTGGTTGTTTTAGTAAATCAGAATCATATGACAAATGTAGTCCAGTTCCCAAACGATTGACCCTTATGAGTTGACCAAATGGCGAAAAATGAAGTCTTTTTGTAGATATATGTGACCCTGGACCACAAAACCAGTCATAAGGGTCAAAATAGGACAATATTTGGCCGAGATACAACTATTTGAAAATCTGGAATCTGAAGTTGCAAAAAATCAAAATATTGAGAAAATCGCCTTTAAAGTTGTCCAAATGAAGTTCTTAGCAATGCATATTACTAATCAAAAATTAAGTTTTAATATATTTACAGTAGGAAATTTACAAAATATCTTCATGGAACATGATCTTTACTTAATATCCTAATGATTTTTGGCATAAAAGAAAAATCAATACTTTTGTTACTTTTATTCATCAAGGATGCATCATAAAAGTAAAGACATTTATAATGTTTCAGAAGAATTGTATTTTCAAATAAATGCTTTTTTTGTATTAAAAAATACTTTCTAGTCATCAAAGAATTTTGAAAAAAAAAAACAAACTAATAAAAATAGGCAGCAAAAACACAACATTTTCAACATTGATAATAATAAGAAATGTTTCTTGAGCAGCAAATCAACATAGAATGATTTCTGAAGAA